ATATTTGGAATTTTGAGAACATGTTGGTAGGTACTCTTCTAGTATAGAGATGGCTTTAGTCGCACTTATTGATGACCTATGGTGAGCCAGGGATGCAGGTGAGTGTGTCCATCCTAGCTCTCCTTGATCTTTTGGCAGCCTTCAATACCATTCATCATGGTATCCTTCTGGACTGGCTGAGTGGGTTGGGAGTGGGAGGCACTGTTTTGTAGTGGTTATCCTTCCTCTGAGGCTGGTTCCAGTCAGTGTTGGTGGGAGGAGAGCAATCAAGCCCTAGGCCACTACTTTGCAGGGTGCCTCAAGGTTCTACCTTCTTTTTTTATATGTACATGAAGCCACTGGGTGAGGTCATCTGTCGGTAGGAGGTGAGGTATTATCAGTATGAGGATGATACCCAGTTATACATCTCTATCCCTGGCCATCCAAGTGAAACTGTTGAGGTTTTAGATGTTGTGAAGGTCTGAATGGGGAAGAACAGGTTGCAACTCAACCTTGCCAAGACAGTGATTATGGGTTGTGGGTCCTCTGAACTTGGGAGTTGTAATGTTTTCATCTTTCATTCTGGATGGGGTGGCACTATCCCATTCAGACTTGGTGCACAATCTTGGACTCAGCTCCTGCTTGAAGAGCAGAGGACAGCTGCTGGCCAGACAGGTCTTTTGCAGGACTACATTGTGTGCCAGTTGTGCCCATTCCTGGACGAGGAGGCCCTGCTCATGGTCACACATGCCTTAGCTATCTCCCAGTTGAACTACTGCAGCACACTGTACATGGGACTGCCCTTGAAGACCATCCAGATGCTTCAGTTGGTCCAGAATGCAGTGGCATGAGTAGTTTTATGCGTAGCTTGTTACGCCCATATAACACCACTACTCTGCAAGCTGAAGTGGCTCTCAATAGGCTTCTAGGTGTAATTGAAAATGCTGCTTATCACTTTTAAAGCCCTACATGGCATAGGACCAGCTTACTTGCTGGACTGCTTTCTCCTAAGATCATTTGCCTGCACCACACGATCCCACAAGGAGAGGATGTTCCAAGTTTCTTCTTTTAAATCTTGTCACCTGTGTGACTTAGGAAGTGTCCCTTTTCAGTTGTTGCCCCCTGTTTTTGGGAACAATCTCCCCATCCCAATATACAACAGGCCCCAACTCTGTTCCCTTTAGGAAAGCCATTAAGACCTGGCTTTTCCGCCAGGAATTTGCGGCCAGTTGAGTGGAGTTCCCTTTTGGTTGTTTTTATTATAGTGCATGGTCACCATTTTATATGCTGTACTTCGTATTTATATTTTGTGGATATTTTAAGATTTTGTGGGTTTTTTTGTTTTTTTGTCATTTACTATTGTATGCCACTCAGAGTCATATTGTTTGAGTTGGGCAGCCTTATAAATCTAGTAAGTAAATAAATAAGTCCACTGGAGGAGAGACTTTCCTATTTACATGACTACCATGGGGATATCAACAGTTAGAAAGAACCAGAAAGCTAGCTGCCACATCCTCTAATCAGTCTTGCAAGGTGTTCTAGTTACCTTGGTCGACTTTGCCCTTTTTCTGAGAGAGAGAGAGAGCAACTTCCAAAGTCCTAGGTTACAGCTGCCCATCATTTAAAATTTTTTAAAGAGCCTCATTTTAGCCCAGAGGCATTCATGGGAATAAAGATGAAGTTTTGCTATATGCCAGCTCCCCTCCTTTTTTTTTTAATTAAATTTTTTGAAAGATTTAAAATGTTACAGTTGGGAGCATGGTGTCCCTGGGTACCACATTGAAGCTTATAATTCTGCTATTTGGGAAGTAAATCTTATTGGTAAGGGAGGAAATTGGAGAGCTCAAAGAAATGGGGAAAAAATAGAAGCACAAGATTCCCCAGATTGCATAAATAAATTTGTGACAATGCAGGATGGTATCTTATGGAGTTAAGGGCTGTTATGAATTGGTGTTCCTAGTTTCCAATTTCTTAATAAATGTAATGTGTTATTAATTCTTATATATACCATCGACATCATTTGGCAAATAGTATAACTGCAGTTCAGTTTCTAATTAATATATGAAAATCAACCTTGATACGAGTTACAGTATATAAGGTAATGTATTTGATGGATGGTCAGGTATTTCATGTTTTGTCATGTTATAAACAAAGCTTATATTTCTTATCTACTCAGAAGTAAATTTTATTTATTTCAGTGAAACTTAATAAGTAGGTTTCCAGTCATGAATTAAATTCAGGAGGAATTTTAAACTAGTCTATTAAAATGGGTGCTATGGCTGAAACAAATTTTACAATAGTATTTTTAGGGGGGGAAATCAGTTTTATCCACAATACTTACAGCACTGATTTGTTTCTTAACTTCTGTGATGTCACTGATACTAAATATGCATTTTAACTCTGTACAGCGAAAATCATTACATTGTCTTTTTAAAATCTTAGGATGTTGCTTTCTGCATTTAGTTGCCTGTATCTTGTCTTTGTTATAGTCCAGAAGAAAGCAATAGCAACTGCTTTTTTCCTGTTGCTATGAAAACTGCATAGACATATCCATGAAGTCACCAGTTATCTTTATAGCACAGAGAACCCAAGGATTGTTGCAATTAGTAATTTTGGAACATATGATGATGATGAGTACTTCCAAGGCATCTAAAATCTTAATATTCATCACACAGGTTAAAGAAAACTTCTTGATTGTAGACTAAATTGAATTCTTCTCTGTTTTAGTTTGCTAGTGTGTTGCCTGGTATAAAGCACAGTAACTTTGCATGTGGTTTAGCATCAATATTAAGGATTTATCCACTACATTCCAGTATATAATTTGATCAGTTAAGAATAATTAAATCATTTAGACAGATTGAATAATCCAGGTTAACATACAAGTAAGCATACAAGGTATCT